TGCAAATTCACTTTTCACTAGAGTACCAGTGAAAAACCTACTTTCAGTTCTTAAAGATAAATCGCATCTGTTAGATTTGACTATTGAACATGATACATTTCTCAAATTGATAAAGTTATGCGTTACTGATAATATTTTTAGAGCAAATGGGAAGTTTCACAAACAACTATTTGGCATGATCTGCTCCTTTAGCCTGTATTTATATGGAGTTTTTTGAGGCTAGATTACTACACAATATTGGGGACTTTATTCCTCCATGGTATAGATATGTAGATGATGTTCTTTGTTTTTGGCCTAGAACAGTGACCCACTGGTTTAGACAAGCTTAATGATCTTGTCCCTAGTATTACCTTCAAAATTGAAAGAAAAATAGATGGATCCCTTCGATTTCTTGATATGCTTATCATGAGAAATGGTCATAACTATAAATTTAAGGTCTACAGAACGCCCAGACACTTTTTATCGAGTCGCCATGAATCTACCAAAATTTCAGTTTTTTCTATGTTTTTGAGATGTTTGCGTATTTGTGACCCTGAATTTATTGATGAAGAACTGCAACACATTCAGTCCATTGCACAAAAACTTGGATACCCTTCATTGTTTGTTGATCATTCTTGTAAATGGGATAAAAAATCTTTCATTCTACTCAAACTAGACAAGTTCCTACATTTAAGAATATTTTGACTCTACCTTATCGCAATGAATTTGTCCCGTTAGTTCAGTCCCTTAAATTATTCAACAGTAATGTTTTTTTTAAGTATGACTCAACTATTACTAATATATTAATTAAGAATAGGCCAACCTTGAATGTAAATGGAAGTGTTTACTGCATTCCATGTAGCAGTTGTAATGGAAATTATGTAGGTCAAACTGGGAAAGCATTGCAACTCAGAATTAAACAGCACAAGTACAATATTAGAACAGCATCTGAAAGCAGTACACTGTTCGTTCATGTTAGGGACAATAATCATCCCATAGATTGGGAAAACAGCTTATAAGTGTATAAATCATCATGTGTCACAGAAAGACTTCTGTTTGAAGCAAGTTTAATTAGGGAATTGAATTCTATAAACCATAGTGATGGTCAGTACAAAACTGATAATATGTTACACAAATTTATTTGTCAGTGGCCCAAGGTTAAAAATGCTTTGAAAACATTCGAGGTAGATGAATGATAGATGATTAGTGGATCTAATATTTTTGACCTGGCTTAACATGACTAGTCACGTCGCCCTTTGTTTTAAGCTCTTATGTTTGCTCTGTGTTGATGTGTGGATAAGTAGATGTCATGTTTTTGACCAGACCTCATGTTTTATAAGGTCACCCTGTGTACAAAAGCCTCTCTCAGTCCTTGTAATTCAGTTGCCTCTGAATATCTTGAATAAAGACACCTTGAATATTGCCACACCTGATAGTAGTCTGCTTTTCATGACCTCCCATGAAGTAGATTTGGAGGAACTTTGCCTGCTCATCTTCCAGTGGTAAGAGGGATCCTGCTTTGTGATAGACTTTACCCTGGACTTTGAATGTTGGTATGTATCCGTGCTCACGAACTACTCTGGTAGCTCCAAAGGATGTCATCTGGAAGCATGAATTGTACTTCAGTATATTTTCCAGGAAGTGTTTTGACTCTGGTGTTGTTCCCAGCATGAGAGTCTTCAATGTTTGTGGTGGTTACTCCAAATTTGGCAGTAGTACTTTCCCATGAGAGCAGCACAGTCCAGCAGATTCTCCTTTATACTTCTTTGTACAGCAGTGTTCACATTTCTTATCCATGTTGCCAATGACAACAGAGGGATACTTTTCATATTCTATCTCATTATCATAAATAAATGCTACTCTTACAAGTGGATGCCACTTTGTATTCTGTCTTGGAATTCTGGATCCTGCAGCTCTCTGTCTATTAGCAGTCAAACGAAAATCATGCGCTTGATCATTTTCTAGAGAACGCCTTTCTGCTGTTTGCTATCTGTCAGTATTAAGACGGGATTCCCTTTCCTGATCTGTTTCATGTAACCGACTGTCTGCTGTAGTGATGATGGATGGTGTTATATGTAGTGATGATGGATGATGTTATATGTAGTGATGATGGGTGATGTTATATGCAGTGATGATGGATGGTGTTATATGTAGTGATGATGGATGGTGTTATATGTAGTGATGGTGGATGATGTTATATGTAGTGATGATAGGTGGTGTTATATGTAGTGATGATGGATGGTGTTATATGTAGTGATGAAGAATGGTGTATATGTAGTGATGATGGATGATGCTATATGTAGTGATGATGGATGGTGTTATATGTAGTGATGATTAGACAATAAAATAATAACTGTTTAATGCTAAAAATATATACTTTGCTGTACCGTTGCAGTGAAAAACATGGTGGAACTTACACACACCGTTAATGAACTATTGATGGAAGAAGAACTTTTGGGGACTGAACAGTGAGACAATGTGGAGCCTCCCGGAGGGCGCCGTCCTACCGTGGCCTAGCGAAGGTGCCGCCCGTCTGTTTGTGGGTGGGTTTGTTTGTTTGCTTGTTCGCACGAGAATCTCAGAAACTACTTTACCGATCTATAGTGATGATGGATGGTGTTATATGTAGTGATGATGGATGTTGTTATATGTAGTGATGATGGATGGTGTTATTTGTAGTGATGATGGATGGTGTTATATGTCGTGATGATGGATGGTGTTATATGCAGTGATGATGGATGATGTTATATGTAGTGATGATGGATGTTGTTATATGTAGTGATGATGGATGGTGTTATATGTAGTGATGATGGATGGTGTTATATGTAGTGATGATGGATGATGTTTTATGAAGTGATGATGGATATTGTTATATGTAGTGATGATGAATATTGTTATATGTAGTGATGATGGATGGTGTTATATGTAGTGATGATGGATGATGTTATATGTAGTGATGATGAATATTGTTATATGTAGTGATGATGGGTGGTGTTATATGTAGTGATGATGGATGGTGTTATATGCAGTGATGATGGATGGTGTTATATGTGGTAATGATGGATGATGTTATATGTAGTGATGATGGGTGGTGTTATATGTAGTGATGATTAGACAATAAAATAATAACAGTTTTATGCTAAAAAATATACTTTGCTGTACTGTTGTAATGAAAAAGATGGTGGAACTTACATACACCGTTAATGAACTACTGATGGAAGAAGAAGTTTTTGGGATTGAACAGTGAGACAATGTGGAGCCTCCCGGAGGGTGGCGTCCTACCGTTGCCTAGCGCATGAGACGCCCGGAGATTAGCGATTCTGCTAATGTATATATATATATATATATATATATATATATATATATATATATATATATATATATATATATATATATATATGCAAACAACACCTCAACCCGCCGGGATTCGAACCCATGGCCCACGAACCCATGACTGTGACCGGGGAACGCTACCTCTGGACCACCAGGACATTAAAAGCAGTCCTAGACTCTGTTATATTTCACACAAAGCCAGTCATGGGCTCGTGGGCCGTGGGTTCAAATGCTGGCGGGTTGAGGTGTTGATTGTATGTAGAAGTCCACCATACTGGGGGAGAGCAACTACACCGACGCTCTATGTTATCTGGACGATGTGCTAGTGTGGGGAACAACATGAGTGGAACACAATAAAGTTTCGGGCAGTGCAGGGGAAGATAAAGGATGCTGGGCTCGCCTCGGCACCAGGAAAATGCAGGTTCGGTGTCCGTCGAGTGGAATATCTCGGTGCGGTGGTCAGCAACGGGATGTTGAGTATGAGTGAACAGAGGGTGAGACAACTGCAGCGATCCCAAGACCATCTACAGTGCATTTTCTTACGTCCAGCGTTGGTTACTGGTTGTGGCAGAGACAGCTAGGCCTCTCTACGAAGCACTAGATCGAGACCCATACCGGAAGCTGCATTGGACCGAGAGGATGTGTGGATCCTTTGAGGCTCCTAAGACACAGGTGGCGAATGCTGCTGCACTAAACCTTCCGTATTACAAAAAACGCTTTGTGCTGGTGACTGATGCAAGTGATGTCGAGACGGGAGCCATGCTAGCGAACAGATCTGCTGACGAAAAGTTTCTCCTGATTGCGTTCTTTCACCACACATTGACCCCGGCTGAACAGCGCTACTCAGCGACGGAGAAAGAGCTGTTGGCGGTGGTGACTGCGGTGAAGAGATTCAGGATGTATCTATCAGCCTCCCAGTTCGACCTGACTACGGATCGTCGCGCCCTTCGCTGGCTCAACTCGCTCGATATAAGTGAGGAATAGGGCAGGAGGGGGGAGGTGGATGCATCACCTGCAGCAGTTCGTTACATCTATCCTATACACAAGATGGGTCGCAGTCCGACGATGTCCATGGCATATCTGATGTCGGCCAAATGAGGACTACCTCAGCATGTGCAATTAACGCTACTACGCATCTCGCCAACGCCTTCTGGCACATACCGACCTTCATCAAGGAACAACAGGAGGACGAAGATATAGCTGCCATGGTCAGGATCCTTGGGGGTAATGGGGGGAACGAGTTAGCCCCGGTAGAGGGAACGAATTCCTTTCCAGACCCGTCTCAGGTTATCTCAGCAAGGGGTGCTCTGTTATAAGCAACACGGTTGACGTTGGAGCCGAGTTCATCCCTATGGAGTTAAGGAAACATGGGTTCCAGTGCTGCCAGCAACGTTGCGGGTACAGGCCCTATGGCTGGTGCATGATGCTTCCCTGAGTGGCCACATGGGACAGAATCTCACCTGAGAGAGGGCAAGGAGCAGTTTCTGGTGGCCGAGGATGAAGAATGATGTAGCAGCATACATCAGCAAGCATGAGGCATGTGGGACGAACAAAAGAGCTAAAGTGCCAGGGAGAGCTCCGGTGCAATAGCAATACACGGAAATTCCTGACAACACAAATGATCTGGTGCAAGTGGACTGGGATCGCATCCTGTTTCTGGCAAGCATCAATTCCGGTATGTACTGCAGATGCAGGACGTATTGACGCGCTATATTGTGATGGTGCCCACGTGTGATGCTACATCAGACACTGCAGCCAGGGCTCTCTTTGGTCGTTGGGTGTGCACATTCGGAGTGCCTTATTCACTCTCATCGGACCGGAGGCCTCATTTTAGGCCTGAGATGTTCCAAGCAGTATGTCAAATGGCGGGCATTCATCAGAAGCTTGGAACGCCCTATCATCCCCGCAGCCAGGCCCAAGTGGAGAGACAAAATCAGCTGATGGACAACCTGTGGTGTCTATGTGATAACAACATCGATTTGCGGCCGGAGATGGTGCCCCATCTGCAATATAGTCACAATACATCATGGAATGCCACAACAGGGCAGAGTCCGCACGAACTGGTGTATGGTGTTCCTGCAAGATGTCCGGAACAGGTGGCGTCGGAAAAGGCATCACGTGATGATCCTGACTTCCGTCCACCAGACCTGAGTAATGTGGAGGTAGCTGGTCGGTTGGGACAGGAGAAGTTGAGAAGGATCGAGAAAGCACTACGTTCGGCAAAAGACAGGGTAGCAGTGGTGCAGGAAAGAAGGAACGAGAAATATTGCAGTCGAGGAGGAGCGTTCCGTGTTGGCGACCTGGTGCAGCTCAAATTATCACCATCTGAACGGCACAAGAAAGGGGGTAGGAAGATGACCCCCTATCAGTCACACCGCTACCGCGTCATCAAGATACTGAGAAGAGGATGGTCTTACCAACTTATCCCCGAAAGTGACCCAACTGGATGAGTCAAAGTGCGTCACTTTGACGAGCTGGAGAGTGCAACGGTAAGACCATATACACCTGGGGGATAACCATCTCCGAGAGTGGTGGTGACCAGTACTAATGATGGAGTTGAGATGCGGAGTGGGAGAGTATTATGCCTTATACTGTTATGTTCATATTGCATTGTGCAATTACATTCTGAAATGTATGGAGGATCATTTTTGTTATTATTTTTTTTGTCAATTGTTGAACTGCCCCCATGGTTGTTCGGACCCGTGGTCCGCATTGTCCGCCGAGGTGTGGTGGCACCAGTTGCCAGCCAGCCAGGGCAGTTGTACCCTGACCGGCATCGAGAGCGGATCACTTGTAACCTTGTCAATAAATCCAACTAGAACTCCCCGTTTGCTTGACCTTGTCTGTCTGTCTGTCTGTCTGTCTGTCTGCCTATGTCTCTATCTGTCTGTCAAGGTGCACGATTTTCCAATACCTTTTATTCCCTTTTAATATATAGACACTATGGCAGATATAAAAAAAAATCCTCCTAAAGTTATATATATACTGTACATAATGTGGGCGATTTAAGGACCATGGTGCAGTTCTTGTTGTGTATGTGGCGGTGATGAGTGTGGTATGTGGCGGTGATGAGTGTGGTATGTGGCGGTGATGAGTGTGGTATGTGGCTGTGATGAGTGGGGTATGTGGTGGTGATGAGTGTGGTATGTGGTGGTGATGAGTATGGTATGTGGTACTGGTGATAAGTGTGGTATGTGGTGGTGATAAGTGTGGATGAGATGTGTGGTAGGCAGCTCACGTCTCTGTCTCTTTACGTACTAGGCGTTATGAGAGAGAGAGAGAGAGAGAGAGAGAGAGAGAGAGAGAGAGAGAGTAATGTATTAGTGTGCTTAAACAAGTCAGTTCCTTGTGCGTGTATACTAGTCATCAACAAGTGGTAATTAAGAGCCTGGTCTGAACAATTATGTTGGTCTCATTCATGGATCTTGTATGTTGTTGATGCTTTAATTAATATACTTTATGGATATTTTGGTTCTGTTTCAAATAGTTAAAAATGAGGCGAGTCACATGGCACCTCAAAAAACAATTTAAACTGTTCCGAATTATGTTTATGGCAGCTTAAATGGGCCCCAGTCCTAACAGGCCCCAATCCTACTTGATCCGACTTTTAAAGCTCCCCTAGTGCTTGTAGTTAGCTTGGGGCCCACTTGGAATGGACCCCATTTGTCATGCATCAGTAATGTTATGTTCAATATTTCCTGAACTAGTCATACAACACAGTGAGATGAATGATCACGGAACGCCATCCTGGGGAGTATAAAATGTTCCTCCTACAACACCGTAAAAAAAACACACAAAAAAACACATCCAATTTTGACGCACAATTTCAGCGTTAAATGTTCGTAATCAAAACATTTATAGTTCAATAAAACTGTGGAATATTGCTCTCTCTCTCTCTCTCTCTCTCTCTCTCTCTCTCTCTCTCTCTCTCTCTCTCGCGGCAAATTATTTCATTGACCACTGGTTCTCACTTTATCTACACATCTTCATCCTTCCACACATGTCTCTCTCTCTCTTTCTCTTTCACTCTTTCTCATTCCCACTATCTTTTTTCCTCGTCTTCACAAAATTTACATTTATAAATTATTTCTGAGCAAAAGAGCAGAAAGCGGTTTCGCCCGAGATAGCTGGAGCGAGGCGGCGTCACAGCTGAGCATGACAACGTTTTACTTTCCCCACAAAACATTCAGCGCCACCAGTAGCTCTGCTTATTTCATATATCGAGGTCGACCTGCCCTGAAGACGAGGGTTTTATCTCCTGAAAAATGGAAGCCATAACACGTGGCCAGTCCCCAGCAGGCGTACCACCATTATCACCACTACCACACCTCTGCTAACACCACCACCAGTACCCGTGCTAACACCACCACCAGTACCCGTGCTAACACCATCACCAATAGCCGTGATAACACCACCACCAGTACCCGTGCTAACACCGCCACCAATAGCCGTGATAACACCACTACTAGTATCCGTGCTAACACCATCACCAGTACCCGTGCTAACACCATCACCAGTACCCGTGCTAACACCACTACTAGTACGTACTGACACCACGAGTTCATATACTAACACCACTACTGGTACATATGCTGACACCCTGCAGTACATATGCTAACACCTACTGGTACCATGCTGCTCCACCATTATTACCCGTGCGCTGGCACTACCAGTACTGTACCATCACCAGTACTTGTTAACACCACCACCAGTACCCGTGCTAACACCACCACAGTGCTGCGTCTTCTTACCACCAACGGTGCCCGTGCTAGCTTACCGCCACCGGTACCGTGCTAACACCACCACCGGTACCCGTGCTAACACCACCAGTGCCGTACTAACACCACCACCAGTACCCGTGCTAACACCATCACCAGTACCCATGCTAGCACCATCACCAGTACCTGTGCTAACACCATCACCAGTACCCGTGCTAACACCATCACCAGTACCCGTGCTAACACCACTACTAGTACATGTGCTGACACCACTACGAGTTCATATGCTAACACCACTACTAGTACCTGTGCTAAACTCCACCAATATTACCCGTGCTAACACTACCACCAGTACCCATGCTAGCACCATCACCAGTACCCGTGCTAACACCACCACCAGTACCCGTGCTAACACCACCACCAGTACCCGTGCTAACACCACCACCAGTACCCGTGCTAACACCGCCACCAGTACCCGTGCTAACACCACCACCAGTACTTGTGCTAACACCACTACAAGTACCCTAGCTAACACAGCCACCACGACCACGACCCAACGTAGTTGTTCATGGATAATGGCAGCCTCGATGCTCCTACAGTTGGTGTAATCGAGAATACTGGCGTTTGTCTCTTGTCTTCCCAGTAGACTTGTAAGATGGAACGTAGAATATGCTGGTGAAAGTTTTCGAGTAGCTTGAGGTGTCTTCTGTGTGTGACCCATGTCTCTCTGTCATACAGCAGGGTGGCGAGAGCCACTAATCGATATATGCACAACTTTATTAATAATTTCAGCTTCCCCAAATAAAGTCAATAGAATGCAGTCTGGTAAAGGCTCCTCATCGATGCCCGCGGTGGTGGATATGTAACTAGTATAATTTACATACTGTATAATTTAGAGTAATTAATTAATAACTTACAACCATGGATGTATAATTATGAACATTCATTATTCAATGACCTATAGAGGGCAGACATTGTTCAAATGTTATAGCGTGATTAAACATCCCACGGATGTTTTGTCTAGTCCGAGTGTCGCTGTATGATGCGACTCTCTCTCTCAGTAGTAGGTATTTCTTTAAACACTAAATAGATTACTCATATGTGGTAATTGGATATTTTGCTTCACACTTGCAATGCGTCAAGTATGTTAGATAAGTAATATATTTAGATAATGGCACTGCTAGTCGAGAGTGATTCATGGGCCTACGGGATCATTTACCAGCCGGTTAATTATACACGTAATGTAAACAGTTGGAGCTTCCAATAACTTGCTTAGACATAAACCATTGACTCTTCAGGCTTCTACGCCCTTAACTCATGAGACATAAGGCAAGCATGAACTTAGCATGCTTCCCTGTTGGGCGCTGTAAACGCTTCTGCGCTTCACCTTACACAAGGATGTAGGGGTGCCCAATAAATAATAATAATAAAAAAAGTAATGTAAACACCGCTGACTGTTGTTTGGCTTGACATTTCACGGAGATGACTACTTCCTCCCTCGAAAACCTTCTAGAGAGTCTAGAAGCTTGACTCATAGATCGCTCTGGTGGCGAGTGCAGGAATTATTATATAAGGGCGTGGTATAACCAAGTCCTCTTTAGTAGTCTTGAGCTGGACCCCTCTTAGAGTAAAGATTTACACCTTAACCACCTCAATACAAGCTCAGTACTAGTGCGACTCACAACGAGAAGTTTTCAGTAATAGATCACGGGGTCAGTCTAATTAACTGTACAGTATTTAGATTGCAAATATCTCACTGTACATATACACCAGTATTGTGGTTGTTTAACCACATTTATGGAAGAAATGAACGCCCAGTTGGACTACAATTATCGACAGCCTCAGGCATCCTATTGATATCAAAGGGACTCTAAATAACTACAAGCAAATTACTTTTAAATGGGACTGTATACTGACAAGTCCCACTCCTCACAGGCCTTACAAGTAACAGGCCTACAGATAGGTGTGAGCTAAGGTACTGTAATTGGTTAACGTTAGAGAGGATTGTACCGTTAACGTGGATGGGTGGTGGAGGCGGGACTGAACCAGAGACAGGTTTGAAGAGAATCTCTGTCTTGAGAATGTTCACCTCAAGGATGAAGTGTGCATACGCATCTGCCAAGGTGTTCAGGATCTCTTGTAGGTCACGTTAAGTGAGAGTGATGAGGGTGACGTCGTCTGCATGCTGAAGTTCAGTGATGGAAGCAACTGACACATAAGATGATGCTTGGAGTCCTCAAAGGTTGCAGAATCCTTTCATGTGGTATTGTATGTCCACCCCGCCGGCTAAATTGACACTGGCACGAGTAAAGAATGCAGCCAAAAATATGGAAAAGAAAGTTGGTGCCAGAACACTTTTTGTTTTAACCTCGTTTGAATGGGAAAGAACTCAAACATGGTGCCATTATGCAGGACACTACCGTTCATATCATCATGGAGTTGCCTCACTATGTCAATGAATTTCGGTGGGCAACCAAAATAACTGAGGGTCCACCAGAAAGCTTCCCTGCTGACCGAGTCAAAGGCCTTAGTAACGTCGATGAAGACAAATGGTCAGCAGGGTTCCTCATTCAACTTTATACACCTTAGTTAGGATTCCACCAGATTTTGTGGCTTTGCTATTTTTCATCTGCCTAATATCAGTTGCTACTTCATCACGGGATGGAGGATAGTCGAAGTGGGCCCAGCTTCGGGTGCTGAGGGACCTGCTGGGTAATCGGGACATCCACATCAGTTTATCAGTTGAGCAGGGAATGACAGTGCTCTTTCTAGTGCTGAAGGATGCCTTCTGCGTCTTTAATTAGGGAATTACCATCGGATGAGCAGATGGGGCCGCGCCTTGAGTAGTTGGGCCATAATTGCTTTAGTGAAATAAAGAAAAATCACTCATCTGGTGTTGGTCCAATTTTTTTGCGTTTCGTATGTTTTTTTTTAGTCCACTATTCATTAATTATTTATTTCCCCAAATTTGCACTAGACCATTGCCTCCAGCTAGCGGAAAGTATCAGCTTTGGTCTGAGACTAAGAGCTGTTTTTCCAGTCAAAGAAGGCAGCACGTTTCTCAGAGAGGAGTAAATCGATTTCCTGGTTATTTGCATCAAGCCAATCCTAACGTCCTCTTCTGATTTGGCCGAGGGACTCGCTACAGATTTTTGTGATACAGCATTGAGGATACCCCATTAGGCACTTGGATTCATTTTGTTTGTTGTTGGGTTGCTTATCAGCCTATCGTCGAGCTGCTCTCTGAAAGCTTATATTACCGCTTGATCTTCCAGTCGCTTGTGGTTGAAACCACTTCTGAAGAATTGTTTCTTTCGCCGTTTTAAAACGACGTGAAGGGAGAGTTTGACTGTGATGAGCCGATGTTCTGTGTCACAGTGGTCTGAGCCACGCATGATTTTGGTGATGAGGACATCTAGGCGATCATTTTCTCGAACAATGAGGGAGTCAATGAGATGCTAATGTTTGGTTCATGGGTGTTGCTAAGAACCCTTGAACTTCTCAGCCTGCCTTAACAAGGTATTGGTGATAGTGAGGTTGTGTTCAGCATACTTACCTAGCTGGAGTAGGCCGTTGGGATTACACCTGGCCACTCTGTTTCTCTCTATGGTTCCCTGCCATAAGTCAACATCTCTATCGACAATGGCATTGAAGTTGCCTAGGAGCTCAACCTTCTTGATGTCATCCTCTGCAATATTGGGGCATGTGCACTAATGCAGTAGGCATGACGTGAATCTTTTAGTGGGATTCGGAGAGTCATAAGGGGCTCGTTGACCCTATCATGAATTTCACTTAGACTATGCAAGGTTGATTTGCGAATGTTAAAGCCATCTCTGTAAATGTGATTTCAGTCCGTAGAAGGCTTACCCTTCCAGAAGAAGGTATAGCTGTCCCCTGTTCTGTGAGTCGACCCTCGTCTGGGAGCCGGGGTTCACTTATAGCTGCTATGACGAATTTTTATGTAATCCTAGCCAGCTTTTTTGTCACAAGGGCAGTTCTTCTTTCAGGACACTCGTTTGTGCCAGTATCCAGAGGGGTCCTGAAATTCCAGGCAGTGACCATAGGAGGTCGCATAGTTTTTTTTTTATATGTTGTGGTGTTAACGAATGGTCTTAGGATGATCTTACTGGGTGTCGTTGCCAGTCAATTGAGTTTTAAGCAGGTTATATATTGGGTATCTTATCTAGCCCCCTCCCCATGAGGAGTGAGCAGAGTGACTCCTGGAAAGGGGAATTAATTCTTACAGACAGGACTGGATTGCATTGGTACCTAGATTCCAGTGCATCAATGACTATCTCTTATGTACTGCCCATGTGCCGAGTGGTCACAAGGAGGGATTCCTGGCAATCATCTCTGCTTATAACCGTTGCCACTCGTTTGTCGCCATGGGAGTTTTGGTGTTTTAGAGGACCTGATAATAATGGAGAGTATGATGAGCTGGATGATGTCTGTACGTGAGTGGATTCATGTGGTGAGCCAGGAGCACAGGCATGTAACTGCAACAATTGGAGAACGGGGAGAGTTGCAATGAACTACCGATAGCCCACTTTGTTGGGTTTCGCTTTAGTAACCTGTACAGTGCATCTTGCATTGCCTTCATCGGCCGGTGTAGTCGTTTGGTTCCAATGTTCTTCACCTCTTCCAGCTATTCCACCGTTGGGGTCTTACTGGATTCTGTAAGCTTGTATTGTCATGAGTGGTGGACTGCAGGGATTACCAGATGGTGTGTACACCATTATCTACCTCTCGGAGCCCATACCGGTTTACTGTCTGGGGTTTCTCCCATAGCCTTTCTATGAAGAGACAAACAACAACACAATACTACACAACACTACAACACCCCAACACACCACATGCTCCTGATACACGATACAATATTACACAACTCAAACCACTCCTGACACGATACTATACAAAAGCAACACATAACAAAACGCCACGCAAATCACCCCTGACACACACACACAAGTGGTGCCTGGGCTTGTCGTACATTTCCTCTAATTGTAAACCCAATCATCCCATCATCAAGGTTGTATTAAAATCAGCCCACCTCGTTTTTTAGCTAAAGGAGCAAAACTTAGGCTGAAATCTTGACCCTTTTATATACTTATATAAATTAAGGATGTTACTGGTTAACATTAAATATCGGTGACAATATTCATTAAAACTGACATACTCATCTTGTGCCTTCAGATGACAGTCTTTTAATTAATCCTACTGAATAAAACATGACCAAATGTAACAATTTAATCTGACCTTCGTTCCCCGAACTAAATTAATAAGTCTTCTACACTTATCCTCTCCTCTGCCACTTTTCATCTCGACCCAAGTTCATCAACTCGGAGTGAACAAGATTTTTGACGACCATTGTTTGATTTTTTTTGTTTTTGCCACAATTATCCTACTGTGCAGCTCCCCACAAATCAATAGGTTAAACAATAAACTGCCATTCCAGGAAAATAATAATATTTTTAACAGTGTAAAATACTTAACAAGATGTACACACTTTCCGCATACATATCCAAATTAAACGTACTGGGTGTTAATTAAATAAGTTTTGAAACAGTTGTTCCCGCTAGAAAGGCAGTTGGACAGTGCACCACAGAGAGTACTAAATATCTGGTTACCTCTCAGCTTATTTATTCTATTCCCCTTCAGTCACTACAGACTAGTATGCATCAAAACCAGATCGACAATGTGCATGTCAATAATTCCTCAACAGCAGGTAGCACCTGCCTGGTCGTGTTAGTTGTTAAACCATCGAGGCGGTCACCACAACCCCAGCTGTTCTCCCTCGAGTATTATCACACCTCTTCACATTTTTCCCTTCACAGCCTTTATTCCTTATTGCTTCTTTAAACTAGGATATTTCAATGGTATTCTATCATTTTATTGTACTTTTAGTAATTTGTCTTTTTAAAAGTGAACTCTCATAGTCTATTATCCTCGCTGACGACGAGAGGTGATGAACTAATGTTTAGTAACTGTTGAATGTACACTGTTGACTCAGTATCAATGTATGGAAACTGTTGGATGTACACTGTTGACTCAGTATTAATGTTTGGTAACTGTTGAATGTACACTGTTGACTCAGTATCAATGTATGGAAACTGTTGAATGTACACTGTTGACTCAGTATCACTGTATGGTAACTGTAAGATGTACACTGTTGACTCAGTATCACTGTATGGAAACTGTTGGATGTACACTGTTGACTCAGTATCAATGTTTGGTAACTGTTGAATGTACACTGTTGACTCAGTATCAATGTTTGGTAACTGTTGAATGTACACTGTTGACTCAGTATCACTGTATGGTAACTGTAAGATGTACACTGTTGACTCAGTATCAATGTATGGAAACTGTTGGATGTACACTGTTGACTCAGTATCAGTGTATGGTAACTGTAAGATGTACACTGTTGACTCAGTATCAATGTTTGGTAACTGTTGAATGTACACTGTTGACTCAGTATCAATGTATGGAAACTGTTGGATGTACACTGTTGACTCAGTATCAGTGTATGGTAACTGTAAGATGTACACTGTTGACTCAGTATCAATGTATGGAAACTTTTGGATGTACACTGTTGACTCAGTATCAATGTATGGAAACTGTTGAATGTACACTGTTGACTCAGTATCAATGTATGGAAACTGTAAGATGTACACTGTTGACTCAGTATCAATGTTTGGTAACTGTTGAATGTACACTGTTGACTCAATATCAATGTATGGAAACTGTTGAATGTACACTGTTGACTCAGTATCAGTGTATGGTAACTGTAAGATGTACACTGTTGACTCAGTATCAATGTATGGAAACCGTTGGATGTACACTGTTGACTCAGTATCAGTGTATGGTAACTGTAAGATGTACACTGTTGACTCAGTATCAATGTAACTCACTGTTGACTCAATATCAATGTTTGGTAACTGTTGATGTACACTGTTGACTCAGTATCAATGTATGGAAACTGTTGAATGTACACTGTTGACTCAGTATCACTGTGGTAACTGTAAGATGTACACTGTTGACTCAGTATCAATGTTTGGTAACTGTTGGATGTACACTGTTGACTCAGTATCAATGTATGGAAACTGTTGAATGTACACTGTTGACTCAGTATCACTGTATGGTAACTGTAAGATGTACACTGTTGACTCAGTATCAATGTTTGGTAACTGTTGAATGTACACTGTTGACTCAGTATCAATGTATGAAAACTGTTGAATGTACACTGTTGACTCAGTATCACTGTATGGTAACTGTAAGATGTACACTGTTGACTCAGTATCAATGTTTGGTAACTGTTGGATGTACACTGTTGACTCAGTATCAATGTTTGGTAACTGTTGGATGTACACTGTTGACTCAGTATCAATGTTTGGTAACTGTTGAATGTACACTGTTGACTCAGTATCACTGTATGGTAACTGTAAGATGTACACTGTTGACTCAGTATCAATGTTTGGTAACTGTTGGATGTACACTGTTGACTCAGTATCAATGTTTGGTAACTGTTGGATGTACACTGTTGACTCAGTATCAATGTCTTGTATAATGTTGGAAGTACACTGTTGACAATCACCCACAGTGATTGTCTTTGAGTCGTTGGCTAACATTCTTGGAGCCTATCTCTTACCTTCAGATTGTCAACAAATTTCGTCTTCACTGAACAAACAAATGTAATGCGTCTTACTGGTTATTAATGGTGCAGTGAGTCAATACTTGGTGGAGGTGATCGACAAATATATGTACTTTGTGACCTCTAGTTAGTGATCATTTTTTCTTTTGTTAAGTAAGGCCAAAATGTCGCGAGCAAATGTCCAAATTGTGGTCGTGTTGGAGGAAAGAGAAAACAAGTCAATCCACACTTTCCAAACAGTGACACACCAGACGCTTGAGGGGGAACAAATTTGGTCCAGTGACAGAGACGTGAGTCGTGGCTGTACAGTAGGTCTGAGGAAAGAGGCAGTGGGTGTGGTTGTCTGTGCTGGGGCGTTCGAGAAGACTTAAGCCTCGGCCCCGGCACCTGCGTGTCAAGTGACTGTAAATATTCGGAGATGTAAAGGTGATCCAGTACCTTGGAGTAAGTGTGGACATAACAAAGAACTGCGAGCACGTCAGGAGCATGCACTGGAAACACTGCATTTTAACTTACAGGGTTATATCTCAGCAGGAAAGAGGGGCCCGGCCAACTCTTACACAACGTTCTGGTTCTGCCACCTTTATCATCACAACATGTCTTCACCCTCACAAACGAAGGAATATCATTCTCTTGTGAATTCATCACGTCAATACAAATTGGTGTAGAATCATCCTCGCTTTATAGATATACTTACCGACTACTCTGATTATGATTTAACTCTCTCTTAAGGCAGGTTCTAAGTTTCGGGTTTATGAAGGGACAAAAATAAATAACATGTACTAATGTTGATCTGTAAGACGAACACAAATTGTTCCCCACCTCATCATTATATAAGGTCACAGCCGAAGGTGAAAAGTCAGACATAACAACGGGATATGATTTTATATAAGACCTTTTATATCGGACCTTTGATCTTTAGGCTTGACTTTTACCTCTGGACCTTGGTGTTGTGGACCTTGTAGACTGTAGTAATGACACATGATACGTCAAGTTTCATGACAATTATCTGTAGTTGTTTGAAGGTTCTACTCTAGAAGAGTAAAACTTGCCAACACAGACAGACTTACAAAAGTCAGACCACAACACTGCTGTCTTCAGTGGTATACTAATAATAATGATAATGATAATAATTAATAATAATAATAATAATGATGATAATAACAATAATTAATAATATTAATAATGATGATAATAATTATAATGATTATTAATAATAATAATAATAATAATAATAATAATAATAATAATAATAATAATAATAATAATAATAATAATAATAATAATAATAATGATAATAATAATGATAATAATAATAATAAAACTCACACATCAACAGAAACACCAGAAATTTCCACTTTACCGAATTTATTTAAAAGTGCAGATACTTTGTGTTGTGTGTCGGCTAAAACACTACTTTTTGGTTTACTGTCACGATGCCGGACACCAACCCATCCCTGGCACCTATCTCTCCCACGCTCCAACACACATGACAAAAAACTTGAAACGTGAGCGGTATCTCTTGTCCTTCACCCACCAGCTGGGCAATAATACTTTCCACACGTCCAGCTGCCGCCTATAATATTGCCTCTCTCACCCCATCCAATATTCTCCCACACGTCATCTTCCGCTGTGTTAGTCGTCTCTTATCTCTCCCCAATGTTTCCTTCGGTGTCTGTTGTGTTCATGCTGTTATTATTCCACGTAGGTCGTGGACTGACTTTAGAATCTATCTTGTTTGTTTGTTAACATTGGTATTTCTAGTCGCATATGTACTAGTGTTGTCATCTGCTTCTCTCTCTCTCTTTCTCTCTCTCTCTCTCTCTCTCTTTTCGTACATCCCTGTTTCTGTTTCTTCTGGCAAGGTGTTTGCAAGGTTAATCTTGTTTAGGTTATACTTTTCAAGCTTAGTTTTCTTTAGGTTGCAATCAACATTTATTTTAAGTAGTGCCGATATTTTTTTCTTCACTTCAGTGAGGCGTCGTCCCTTTGCCAGAGACGGAAAATATATGAAGCGGGAAGATGAGACCTGATGGAGGTTATAATTACGATGTAGCAAAAGCTCTCAGAGGCAGGGAGCTCCACACAGTGTTAGTATATATGAGTTTATATAGGTAGGTAGATAGGTGAAATTCAACAGTCCTTGTAAGCTGATTGAGGTTGAGCGGTGGTGGAGTTCTCGCAACGTTGTCTATGGAATTATCTATATAGAAAGGAATGAGATATGTTACGAATGTAAAATACTGGAAATTGTCTAGTGAGGGATTTATTATGGATTCTTCTGAAGTATATTTTTATGCACCAAATTGGGGACGCGAATTGCCCCATCACCACACCCAACCTACAGTGCCGCAACACCACACTACACCTACAGAGCCCCAACACCACACTACACCTACAGTGCTCCATCACCACACCCAGCCTACAGTGCCCCAATACCACTCTACACCTACAGTGCCCCAACACCACACTACACCTACAGTGCCCCAGAACCACACCCAACCCACAGTGCCCTAACACCACACCCAGCCTACAGTGCCCCAAAACCACACCCAACCCACAGTGCCCTAACACCACACCCAGCCTACAGTGCCCCAAAACCACACCCAACCCACAGTGCCCTAACACCACACCCAGCCTACAGTGCCCCAACACCACACCCATCTCATAGTGCCCAACACACACACACACACACACACACACGCCATCCTCGTCATCGCCACTTACTAACACCTGCAGTACCCCCGACCACCTCGCGCAGTCCGCCACTAGAACAAAATTCAGCCCATAATAGCCCGCACTGATAGATATAAGAACAGCACCATCCCATATATTGTTAAAATAATAAATATCTCCTGATTTATGTACTGTACAGCCCTGTAAATGTATTGAACGTATATCATTATGTCTAAATCACATGTATCCTTGTATATTTTCAGCCACCGGCTGCAACTCTATTAATAAACCGTTTATTATTATTATTTTTATTATTATTATTATTATTATTATTATTATTATTATTATTATTATTATTATTATTATTGTTATTATTATTATTATTATTATTATTATTAAAGAAATCTGTTCAATGATTATTCACCAACTGAGGTTTCAATTAGAAAAGAATGGAAACGAGTGCTGACAATACTCTATAAACCTATTAACACCCAAGTGGGAGACTCAGGAGCCTTGTTGTGGGAAAAACCTCGACACAATCATGTGGGACTGACTATACCACGTGGAGAGGGAAGTACTACAACTACATGAGATCCTCTACAACACCACCACAGAGGGAAGTACTACAACCACCTGTTATCCTCTATAACATCACCAGAGACGGAAGTACTACATCCACTTGTTATCCTCTACAACATCACCAGAGAGGGAAGTACTACATCCACCTGTTATCCTCTACAACACCACCAGAGAGGGAAGTACTACATCCACCTTTTATCTTCTATAGCATCACCAGAGAGGGAAGTACTACATCCACCTGTTATCCTCTACAACAATACCAGAAAGGGAAGTACTACATCCACCTGTTATTCTCTACAATACTACCAGAGAGGGAAGTCTACATCCACCTGTTATCCTCTACAATACTACCACAGAGGGAAGTACTACATCCACCTGTTATCCTCTCCAACACCACCAGAGAGGGAAGTGCTACATCCACCTGTTATCCTCTACAACATCACCAGAGAGGGAAGTACTACATCTACCTGTTATCCTCTACAACACCACCAGAGAGGGAAGTATTACATCCACCTGTTATCCTCTACAATACTACCACAGAGGGAAGTACTACATCCACCTGTTATCCTCTACAACACCACCAGAGAGGGAAGTGCTACATCCACCTGTTATCCTCTACAACATCACCAGAGAGGGAAGTACTACATGTACCTGTTATCCTCTACAACATCACCAGAGAGGGAAGTACTACATCCACCTTTTATCCTCTACAACATCACCAGAGAGGGAAGTGCTACATCCACCTGTTATCCTCTACAACATCACCAGAGAGGGAAGTACTACATCTACCTGTTATCCTCTACAACACCACCAGAGAGGGAAGTATTACATCCACCTGTTATCCTCTACAACACTACCAGAGAGGGAAGTACTACAATCACGTGTTATCCTCTACAACATCACCAGAGAGGGAAGTACTACATCCACCTGTTATCCTCTACAACACCACCAGAGAGGGAAGTACTACAACCACGTGTTATCCCTTTACAACATCACCAGAGAGGGAAGTACTACAACCACGTGTTATCCTCTACAACATCACCAGAGAGGGAAGTACTACAACCACGTGTTATCCTCTACAACATCACCAGAGAGAGAAGTACTACATCCACCTGTTATCCTCTACAACACCACCAGAGAGGGAAGTACTACATCCACCTGTTATCCTCTACAACACCACCAGAGAGGGAAGTACTACAACCACGTGTTATCCCTTTACAACATCACCAGAGAGGGAAGTACTACATCCACCTGTTATCCTCTACAACATCACCAGAGAGGGAAGTACTACATCCACCTGTTATCCTCTACAACACCAAATTGTCAGTGATTCGTAGATAAATTGTGTATTCACTCTGTGTCTAATTTTTGTATAGAAAACTTTTGTTAAACAAGTCCTGCTCTTGTGTTACTATACCTGATACTGAATGTTATTTTTGGCCATTGTATTATTATTATTATTATCAATATTATTATTATTACCACTACTTGTCGTAATTTTAAACTAATAAAATGGCGGCGAAGGTATGGCTATAAGGGGGTGGGGATGCAGGCAAAAAAATAGTAAAAATTGTATTAGTATTAGTAGTAATATTATTATTATTATTATTATTATTGTTATTGTTATTGTTATTGTTATTGTTGTTGTTGTTGTTATTGTTGTTGTTATGGTTGTTGTTGTTACCATCCTTATCATCAATATGTACCATTATAATTACAGCT